TATATATATATATATGTATGTATGTATATATATTCACACACCAAAGTTTATCCATTAGCGAACGATGAGAAATTAGTTACGGCAAACTGCAGCCATTAAGTATAATTGGCAAATATACATATTTTTTCCTTCGATATATGGAAATGATTTTCTTTATTCTAAAACTCTGTTCTATGGCTTTATTTTCAGCTAAAAAATGTGCTAATTAGCCTTGGTGAGAAATTGACAGATGAGGAGGCAGAGCAGATGATAAAAGAGGCAGACTTTGATGGCGATGGAAGAGTTAATTACAATGATTTTGTCCAAACAATGATGTCAATGTAAACAAAAAAGGATGAAAATATATTTGTTTTGTAAAGATTGCTAGGTGGTAAAACAATGGTCCACCTAAACCAATCTTTCAAACTTATCACTTAAATGATGCACCTTGTACTACGAAAAAAAATTTGTCATTTATAAGAGTACAAGAGAGCAAGAAACATTTTTCTTACATATATATTTCTTTTTTTCCTCTATATTAAGGGATAATGAGTGATATCTCCAGAATAGCTGAGGCTAAGTGTGCTAATAAAAATTCCAACCTTCATTGGATGAGCTGGAAAAAACATTGCTGGCCTACTGAGCTTGGTGGTTTTGGCATCAGATCCTTGCAAGACTACATGAGAATCAGTTTTATGAAATTATGGATAAAATTTGGAGCTGGCAGCTCACTTTGGTCAGAACTCAGGAATTCAAATTGTTGTTCTCAAAATCTTCCTTTGGCTTGTTCTTCTCAAAATTCTAATTCGTTGGCATGGAATGAAATGATTAAACATAGAGCTGCTGCTAAGAATTTTATTACATGAGAATTGCGCAATGGGCAAGTTAGTTTTTTGTTTGATGGTTAGTCAACCAATGGACCTCTTTTTGGATTTTATGCAGATGTGAGGAGGAATCTGTTGCTCCTTTAATTCATTTTTGCAAATATGTTCAAGATCATTAGACTAGCCTTATTGTTCTCCTTGCTCTCTAGATTTGAGCAATTTGGGACATGTCCATGACTTATTGGCTTCATGCCTGAAAGCATTTTGGAAATCCTATTATGAAAATTATGCCTATCATTATTAGTTGTTTTACTTGGATGGCTAGAAACAGCAACAAAGTTGATGATCTTTGGGTGCCTTCCAAGAGTTCATTCAGCCATATTGTGGCTCACTTTCAAAAAATTACAGAGTATGGCAAGATCAAGGAAAAGCTCCTTAATATCTTTCCCAATGTCATTTCTGTTGACAGCTACTCTGCACATTCTTCTTATAGAGCACCTTAGCTCTTTGATTTAGAACAGACCACATGAACATTGGATCAAAGAAACTATTGATGATAGTTTTACTAATGTCACTGCTAGTATTGGTGAGAACTTCAGAAATCATATTGGGCTCACAATAGTTGTGTTCTCCTTACCTACCTTTAATCTTTCTCCACTTCAAGTTGTGGTTGAAGATGTATTGGCTATTCTTAAGACTGTTATTTTCTTCAGGTGGGACAGAATTATTGTGGAAATGGACTCCCTTACTCTTTGGAAAGCTTGTTCCTCTAAGCAATTATCTCACTGGCTCACCTGTTGTGAAAAACAACGACAATAAAACGAAAAATGGAACAGAAAAATTGCACGCAGAAAAAACACCAGAGCGACACAGATTTACGTGGTTCGGCAAATTTGCCTACGTCCACGGAGCTGCAGAGGAATTATTTCTTCTATGAATTACACCGTCGAGCGTCTCGACATTCATAAGAAAATCTCTATTTTCTTCTCTCCATTCCTCTCTCTCTTCCTCTCTTTCTCTTAGCTCTCAAGATGACTTGGCTTGGTTTTACTTGGCTTTGCTTGGCTTGGCTTTTTCTTTAAACCAAAAGAGTCCATTTATAGAAACCATGAGAGCGGTAGGTGGGAGGTAGGTGAGCGGTAGGTGGGATGTGGTAGGTGAGCGGTAGGTGGGTATGGTAGGTGAGCGGTAGGTAGGATACTTAATTAGGAAGCTAATTAAATTCTGTGGACCGGGTCTCCATATTACCCAACAACTCTCCCACTTAGAGACCGAGACACTGAATACATCACCTACTTTCTGCATCATCTACTAGTTGTACCGACCTTTTCCTCAAACATGATATCCTCCACCTCTACAACTCGAAGCCTTTATCTTCATGCCAGAAGACTAGCTGAAATTGAGCACAACTTCAGGTTCTCACGAGTAACACCCTCAGTTGACATATCACCATAAACATAGTCTTGTACCTCCCAGCTCTTTCCTGGGTTATTCTTGTATCTGCTTACAACTCCCACTGCATGAATAATATCATGCCCATGTTGAAAGCCGTTTTCAACAAGTCCAGCTTTATACCTCTTATTGTCATCAAGCGCAAGCGCAGTCTTCACCTGGTACACCCACTTGTTGTGCAATGTCTTCTTCCTTGATAGAAGTACTGTCAGCTCCCCAGTCTGATTCCCTGGCAGAGAATCCATCTCCTCCTTCTTGGTCAGCTCCCACTTGTTCGAATTCTTATCTTGCAAGATTTTTTCATAACTCTGTATTTCTCCACCATTTATCTGTACAAGATCTGGTTTTCCTGTCTTTGGCGCTCTGCCACTTTTCAGGAAATGAACCTTCTTCTGCTTCCCCATAATGCACCTCTGACTCATGTGTCAACGTCTGAGTAAACCTTTAGTCATATATAGTGTGTCAGTTTTCTTACCTCGAGTCATTACTAATGCTCCTTTAGTAACCTTCGAGGTGATATCTGAGAACACCACTGAATGACCACTCTCATTGAGCTGCCCAACAGAGATGAGGTTTTTCTTTAACTCAGGAACTTGTCTGACCTTTTGCAATGTCCATTTGCTCTTATTAGGGAGTTCAATATCAACGTCTCCCATCCCCACCATGTTCAGAGCTTTTCCATCAGCCAGATATACCTTCCCAAAGTTACCTGCAACATAATTTTACATTAACTCCCAGCAGAAAGATGTATGGAAGGAAGCCTTTGAATCCAATATTCAGTCATCAACAGAACTGTGAACTGCCAGCAATAATGCATCATGTATTTCTTCAGTTACAACATTAGTGCCATCATTCTCCTTCTTGTTAGGATTCCTGCAGTTCTTTTTTATGTGGTCAGCCTTGCCACAATTCCAATAGGTTGCCTGCTTAGCAGACTTTGATTTTGATCTTCCTCTATTTGAGTTCATGTCATGTGGTCTCCCTCTGGAATCAACATTCAGCGCCGAACTTGAACACGAGGCCTCGCCAAAATCCTTACTGTGCATCTCCTTAGCTAAAATCAAATCACGAATATCATCATATTTCAGCTTGGATTTATCTGCAGAATTACTAACTGTCATCCTCATGGCTTCTCAACTATTTGACAATGAAGCCAACAATATCAGTGCACGTATCTCATCATCAAAATCAATTTCAACAAACGATAATTGATTTGTGATAGTATTGAAATCATTCAGGTGTTGAGTAATAGACACACCTTCCACCATCTTCACGTTGAATAACTTTTTCATCAGATGCACCTTGTTATTCGACGATGGTTTTTCATACATACCCGATAAAGCCGCCATGAGATCTGGTTGTGATAGTATTGAAATCATTCAGGTGTTGAGTAATAGACACACCTTCCACCATCTTCACCGACATGAGACCTGAAGTAGTCCTCTCCTTGATGACGTTGTGGGCAACTGATCTCGACAGGGTTAATGGTATAACCCCCAGAACTTGTCGATCCAAAAGATTCCATTCCGCCTCGTCCATCTTTCTTGGTCGTTTTCCTAGTAACAGAAGATGAAGTTTTTTCCCATAGAGGTAGTCCTCTATCTGCATCCTCCAGTAAGCAAAATTTGTGTCATTGAACTTCTCGATCTCCGATGTCATCTCTTCGTCTCCGCCCATTGTTCTTTCTTAGATCTGAACCAAATGCTCTAATACTAGTTGTTGTGAAAAACGAAGACAATAAAACCAAAAATGGAATGAGAAAAATTGCACGCAGAAAAAAAACCAGAGTGACATACAGATTTACGTGGTTCGGAAAATTTGCCTACGTCCACGGAGCTGTAGAAGATTTATTTCTCCGAGGAATTACACCGTCGAGCGCCTCGACGTTTGCAAGAAAATTTCTATTTTCTTCTCTCCCTTCCTCTCTCTCTCTTCCTCTCTTTCTCTTAGCTCTCAAGATGACATGGCTTGGTTTTGCTTGGCTTTGCTTGGCTTGGCTTTTTCTTAGAACCAAAAGTGACTATTTATAGAAATCATAGAAGCAAGAGAGTGGTAGGTGTGAGGTAGGTGAGCGGTAGGTGGGATGTGATAGGTGAGCGGTAGGTGGGTGTGGTAGGTGAGCGTTAGATGGGATACTTAATTAGGAAGCTAATTAAATTTGGTGGACCGGATCTCCACATTACTCACCAACCTTTTTCTCAAGAAAATTTCTCATCTAAATTAACAATTTCATATTTAATGATCTTTCCCCAGGGAAGGCAACAACCAGCCCGCTGGCTTGCTAAAGAGGGAGCTTCTTCTTTATAGATTTTGTTTGATACCAACCCTTCTTACTCCTTACTTCCTTCATTATGAGGGACAAGCTCAACCTTCCCTTTGTCAGAGCTCCCACTTTATAAAATCTCTTTTATTAATGAATGAAATGTTTTGCTTCCAGTAATAACAAATTCAAAGTATCACCCTTCTTAAATTATAATATTCATTGTTAAGGGATAGGAGTAGCCTTACTCACTCATCTTTTTCAAATTGTAATGTTTTTAAAAGAGAATAGCTTTTATTCAATAAATAAATTAAATTATTTATATATCTACATATATGAAATAGTTATTTCTAAAATATAGCATGTTCATTTTGATATACCAATTTATAGTAGGTGAAGTTTTAGTCCCATGTAGAGCAATAGGAGTCAATTCCCTCAATATTCCTATATAAGAAATTTTTAAGGTTATTATTACTTATTTTAGATAAATATTATAACATAAGTGTTAAATACTTATATATTATTGTTGTTAGCTAAGAGATTTTTTCTTGCTTATATATATATATATATATATATGACCTCACGCAGTAAACGCACCACACATCAACTCCAAGCAACGGAGTGCACCGCACAATGAGAAATTGTTCTATAAGGATAACGTACGCAGTTCTACATGTGGAAATTAATAGAATGAGGTCATGAGTGCCACAACGAGCCCACCACTTGAAATAATAAAAAAATCAAATTTTCTGCGTGTGACCGACCTACCTGACCCGGACGATGCTAAAAGGTAAAAGCGAATTGTGAGA